TTCATGAGATAGACCCACATATTGCCCTGTGGACTGAATCAGCTGTACCATGTACTGTTTGAGTTCAAAATGCCCCGTGATATCAGGCTTCACGATAGCCTGAGTCATATTAGCAAGATTGGGCCTTGCGGCTTCTATCACCGGACGCTCCTCATTACCTGCCATCTCTATTGGCTGTGGTTGAACTACGATGTCCAACTCTCTTTCTATTCTCGTTCTAGCTTCGACTTCCCTCCTCACTCTATGAAGTGTTCGTTCAATTTCTGTATCAAAAGGAAGGAGGTTGTTTGCACTTCTACTCCTCCGCATTCAAGAGAAGATCATGCGTTAACACAAACAAGGCAAACTGAAAATTAAAACTTGAATAAATAAGTAATAAAAGCTTAACTCAATCAAGTAGCTAATTTCTAAGTCCCCGGCAACGGCGCCAAAAACTTATTACGACCAAACACACTCACACAAGTATACGTAATCGTCAAGTAATATAGTAATGAGTAGAGTATCGTTCCCACGAAGACCTGTGATTAACTTTTGACTAACTCAAACTCAAATAACTTATCGATTCAAGCGATTTCTCACAAAATAGATAATTTTCTAATTTACTACCTAAAAACTATCAAGTAATGAAATACTAAAGATCAACCAAACCACTTAAATGGTTTCGAATAACAATCAGTAGGAGATAATATTCCAGGGTCACGGGTTATCTAACAATCATGTTGCATTCTTATCTTAAAATAACTAATTGATTTATCTGGATTGTTGATTGACAGGGTTGATATTACTCCTAAGAATATGTCGAGTCCTTACTCGCCTATTTATGCTAACTTAATGCCTATATGTCTATGGAATTAAGATTAACAAGAACGCATTTACAATTCCTGTATTGCAACCGAGCAAGGCAATTAGGTATATGTCTATCCCAATTGCGAATCCGTTCCCCGATGCCCGGGTTTAAGAACTTGCTCTATTTAATTCTATATGCAATCTAGAGTTCCCACTTTCGAGTTCAACTCTAGATTCGTAGATAGTATTTCACTGTTAGCTACTCAGCAAAATAATTAAAAACAGAATTAAATAAACAACCCAATATGATAAAATCAACTTCGTCAAATTAAACTTCAAACATCAACATTCATGTATACACATGACCCTAGAACAATAGGGTTCTTAGCCACTCATGTTCATGCAATCATTAAATAATTTACAAGAGTGCATAATAATCAATAAAAGAAGGAAAAATAAGATCTCAAATGAATTCCGTGGTTCCCCAGCTTTGTCGTGGCTTTTTTCCCTTTCCCAATATGTTAGATGTCCTAAAAGAGGCATTTTTGGCTTATATATTGCGTACAAAAGTCGTGGGCTGAAGTTCTCCTATTCCTAATCCGACTCAATTTCAGGGATTGATGCAGGGGTGGATGCGTCGCATCCACCTCGTCCTCCACTTCTCAGCTTCGCATGCTAGGGTGGATGCGTCGCATCCACCCTTTATTCCTCCATCTCAGCTTTTTCCAGGTGCGGATGCTATGGCGGATGCTATGGGCCGACTTCACTGCTAAAGGTGTACGAAATCTGATTTTTTTTCTCTAGATTGGATGCGACGCATCCAACCCCTCTTCCTCTACCTAGAGCACCTTTTCTTCATATTTTTGCACTCCAAACACCCTAATTCATCACACACAACTCAATTAGTCATAAAACCAATAATTAAACCATGTTGGGCATTTTAAAGATCAAATAGCATCAAAAAGTGGTTAAAATATGGGTAAAGTAACATCAACACATATCGAAATATGCCCAACATCACTGATCAAATAGTAGTGCTTACATTTAGTTTAATACTAGTACTTTATATACATAGGGTAAAGTGTAAATATAAAAATACTTAACGGGTTAACGGTTTATCCGATAAAAAAATTGAGTAATCCGTCCCCAAACCGTTAAGCCATTAATTATAAAATCTTAATCCATTCACAAATCATTACCCTGATAACTCGATACCAATAAGTTAATTTTACAGTTCGATTTTAAATCGCCCTACATAAGATGTTCAATAAATCAAGTAAAAACAATAATGTAAAAGCCTCGTAGCCACTTAAACTTGCACCTGAATTGGATCCCGATAAATAAATTTTCATCTTTCCCATTTAAATATTCGAGAATTAATAAACCCCTCCGTAAGTTAGAACATAGCGCGTGCATTACACATTTACAAACATGAAAATCCAGTCAGCGAAAGACGAATTAAAACTCTATACGTGAAAGGCGTAAAAACACACTCTTCACTGACTAGTTCCCCCTTGTTTTGACCTAAAGACTAAACAACCCTATGCAACAATATGAAAATCCAAAGAATGATACATCCATCAAAACAAAAAAAACAAAAATGGAAAAAATTTGCCGACTGCTGCGAATAGTGATAATAGATGAAAATATTGACTTGTTAGTAGAGTAGTGATGTTTCCCGTTTTCCGCGAAGGGCCAACCAAAAGAAGCCACACCTTAACCAAGGTCAATGTATAATCTAACTTTGACAGTGATGTTAATTGTTTAGAACAACTGTCTCCTATCCCTACCCATTTTCCTTCCCCTCCTAGTTTGAATGGAAGACCATGTCACTTAAGATATGGACAGGGAAGTCGAGAAGTTCAACTTACTCAGTCTAATTGACTTTGTTACTGCAGAGAGTGCAATGATTTGTGTCTAATTGACTTGGATGAGTGGAAAATATGAAGAAAATTGCTGCTACAGAGCTTTCGTGCTTCAACAATGGAGATCTAGGGCTTTTCTTCAAATAAGGAAGACAAACCCTTTAAATAAATGACCTTATTACGGTTGGGCATTGGAAAAACACACGCACAACAGCTAGACTAACTGACGCAACATGTGTATAGTCAACAGTTAAAAGTTGTTTATTAATTCTCAAATATACAAGGGTGTTTAAATGGAAAAGTTGAAAATTTGTTTATCTGGATAAAAATCAGGTGCAAGTTTAAGCGGCTACAAAATCATTTTGCCCAATAAAAAAAATGCTCAATAGATACCATGCAAATATAAGGTGCCTAAATGAAAAATGATATATAAGTTTAGGTGGTCCTGGATGTATATAACCTATAAATACTTTTGGTTTCAGTATTTGATTATATTTTCTAAGTACTTTCTCCATTTTAATTTGGATGATTTAATTTGACTTGACACAAAGTTTAAGAGAGATTTTTTTTTTTTGAAATATGTGGTCCTAAAAGCTTGGCAAAAGCTTTGTAGAGCCATGACATTTTATGACTCTAAAAGGTTCTTGTTAAGGGTAAAGTAAGTAAAATAAAAAATTTAAAATTGAGTTGTTTCCAAATATAAAAATTGGTCATTCTTTTTTGAACAGACTAATAAGGAAAGCGTGTCATTTAAATTAAAAGAGCACATTATTTTTGAAAATATAAGGAGAACAACAAATGGCTCACCAAAATATTAAAGCCAATACCCACTTTCGTAAAATCAGAAGAAACTCCCAAACTTTCTCTTACTTCACGCCGTCTAAATTCTTTTTAATTTTCATGATTCAGCAGCTGTCAGTTCAATTTTAGAGCAGATTCTCTTTGCACCATTTCTTCTGAAAATTACGCACCTATTAAAATCCCACTGTTCTTGCAAACAAATTCTCCATAATTTTGAGTGAACACACCAAAAAATTGTCCTCAGTAAAAGTTAACCCCAATTAGCTTATGAGGAGTATTATTAATAGAATGAACCATACCGCAAAATTGGTAAAATTAAAGATCATACGTGTTAAGGCAAATAGCACAAGAACTAAAATTAAAATAAATTAATAACTTAAAAAGACTATAATTACTAGTACTACATTTTAAGACAATACGTACTACTATTGTCCAATATAAGTGTCAGGATATAAAAGTAATAAGTAACTTTTATAATTGCAAACACCAAAACAACAGTAAAATTTAAGAGGTGGGGTATAAGAGGATAGTGTGTACGCACATAGTAGCGAATATAGAGAGATATTTCGGATAAACTCTCTACAACTTTTATAATTAATATGCTACTACTTTTATATAGTATTCCTCTGCTCCAATTTATGTGAACCTATTTACTTTTTGGTTCGTTCGAAAAAGAATGACCTCTTTCTAAATTTGAAAACAATTTAGGTTAAACTTCAAATTCTACCCTTAACGAGAAGTTTTTATAACCACACAAATATTCTGGACCATTTTTGACTTGTTTAGGACCACAAATTCTAAGGACCCGTTTGGCCATAGATTTTGCCAAAATAAACTTGGGTTTTATTTGGCAAACACATGTTTGGCCATAGATTTTACCTATAATTTTGGCCAAATCCCAAATTTTAAATCCCAAAACCAGCTATCACTATTATATTTTTTAAAAATTGCCCCAAACTTTTGTATTTTATAAAAGAGCCCACCATTTATTATTTTGTTACGATATTGCTTCGTCTTCTCGGTCATCTGATAGTGTATCATGTAGTTTATTATAAAAATAATAATTTTGTATCAAATTTATTTATGTTCAGGACTATGGTTTGCGATAATATAATGAATGTTATTGATAATGGTACTGTTGGGTATTTGTGATAATTTTTAGAACTTATGAGTATAAGTTATGTTTCATGTTTTTCCAAACCAAACTTCACCCAAATAAATGTCCAAACACATTTTCATCTTCAAACCAAACTTCACCCAAATCAAATTTTTGAGAATAAATTTGAGAATCTATGACCAAACACTAGCTAAAAGTCTTCATTTTTTTTTAAACTCCATAACAAATCAAACACGTACATGTAAATTGAAACGGATGAAGTACTAATTTTTTTTAAATTAATTGGGCAAAAAATATTTATTTTGGACTGGAGCGAGTAACACGTGTCATGCATTCATTTCTTCGTAAACTTGCATGCACAGTGATGCAGTGTAGGTACCGGCACCACTTTCTGAAGGTGGTGGAGGTGTGCAGGTGACAGAAAGGCAGTAGCCACTAAAGTAATTTTATTACCATTTTCAGCCATTGAAGCTAAAACCAAAAGAAATCACAAAAAGCAAACATTACAGATAGCTATATATACAAAAAAATAGTACTCCGTAATTGTTTAGTAGTAACATATTAGTATATGATTCTTTTTCCTTTGGAATATTGAAATTACAATTGGAGATGGAGGAGGAGAAAAAGGTGAAAAGTTTGAAGAGGAAGAGAATGACTGGGCAAAGCTTTAGAAAGTGGGTAATACAACAAGCACAACGAAGAAAGTGCTCTGGTTGGTTTTTTATTTTTATTTTTTGATTTTATCATCCTCTCTGATTTTTTTTTAAATTTTTTAGTATACCTAGGAGGAGTGAAGTGGAAATGGGGGAGGGAATTACAAGGTAGGGCATGGAAAAAAGTGAAAATTAAGGCAAACAATCAACTTCGCTACCATATTCTCTAAAGCCTAATCAATATGTTTATTAGTAAAATCTGATTTATTTTTTCAGAAAATGCTAATAAAAAGGAGGATCACGTGTCTGAAGAAGAACACCATGTGACTGAAAGTAACCGTCTCAACGAAGAAGAAACCATAAAATATGCACACAGGTATGCCTTTCATTGGAGTTATTTTTTTTTTTTTTAAATATAAAAGAGTGAGGTTATGTGCACATTATGGGAAGGGAGCTCCCCTTTTTCTGGGTTTGTGAAGCCTATTTTAATTTTATTTGATATGATAATAACATAACTTGAGCTTAAATGGTGGCGTAATTATTGTTTTTGGTTTGGTCCTAAACCCTCCTACCCATGACCATGTGATATGTACATTCAAAAAGCAAAATTACATTCTCTTCAACGGAGTGAGGAGTCTAAAAAAATTATTGGTACTTTTTGCCTTTGTTTCCAATCGAAATGAAGTCCCAATACAGCCCCTTATTAGCTACTACTACTTTTTGTGGGAGATTTTGAGTGAGTTTGGTATGACTGGAAGTTATTTTCATGTAAAATATTTTTTTTGTGTGTTTGGTTGAATAGCGAAAAATATTTTTCAAAAATAATTAAAAATAAAAATTAATAGTAATATTAGCAAATTACCAACGATTAATAACAATGTGTGAAGTTAAAAGTTAAGATAATTGTGCGGAATATGACTTCCGCCCATAAGTGAGGGAAGTCATTTTCCCCATTTTGATGGAAAATGGACATTTTTTTGGTAACCAAACACATTAAAATGTTTGGAAAATATTTTCCTAAAAAATGACGTCCGTCGTATCAAACACACCCTTTGATTCCGCAGTTTTTATACTTTTTTGCATGTTTTGTAATTATCTAGCTTATCTTGCACACCATTATCAGAAAATCGTCATGCATAATCAGTCATAAATTATTTAAGATTATGGAGTATTTTCCCTGTTTTATGTATTTTCCCATGTTCATTGCTGTGATACCCTTTCTATTTTAACTCTTTTTCAGGGTGGATGATCAAAGAGAAAAACACGCTTGTCCATCAGAGAAAAATGTCAGTCATGACTAAAATTGATCTGCAACTTTTATCTCTTTTAATCAGTTTTTGTTTGAGAATATAAAGGTTTTGTTTGGATCCCTTACAGTTGCAATGACAAAAAATCATGTTAAATTATTATCAAGGCTGCACAAGTGCTGGTTCTTCTGAAAATGCAAAATGTCGATGTTTGACTGTTATGAACCTTTACTAGTAGCTTGAGGTTCTACATGCTGTATTAATCAAGTGCGATAGAACCTATCAATCAAATCTTCAAGTCGAACTGAATCATTTGGTTTGCTAAACTGTTAGGTACTTGTTAGTTTCCATAGCATTTTATTTGCACCTTCAACTATAATAGGTGGCAGAAGCATTATCTTCGAACTTTTACAGTATTTAATTACTTTAAAAGCTTAGGCACCTAAGGATGTGGCCGAATGGTCGATGAAGCTGGAATAAAGATCATGGGAGACTAATGGTTGTATCCTCACAGAGGCAAAACAGTCTAGTGGTTTTCTTCCTATTTGCCTTAGCCTCACTGTGTAGAGTTAACCAGTATTTGTACTGGTGGAAGGTTGCAAGTATTTGGTAGAATAGTTGAGGAGCTAGTGTGCAAACTGATTTGGACACCACTGTAATCACAAAGTAATTCTTTAATAAACCAGTAACCAGCACTTACCTAGTAAGAGACTATGATGAAGGAAACAAACCAATGAAATAGAATGATGAGACTTGGCTGTTTCTGTTTGCTGTTTTTTGTCAAATAAAGATAATAAGAAGCCTGCACTAAATGGAAACTTTAAAATGCCAGATTCTGGTTATTTTGGTAGTTTGAAATTTTGGTGCAACTCTCATTGTGTTATTGCCATACATACATGCCATATACTCTGGGAGGTGTTCTTGCTGTCTGTACCAAGCTGTGTTATACAACTCCTTGTCTCCAATGATGAAATGGACTTTATCAAATATCTCTGATCTCATCATGATGGTGGCCTTTACACTTTAAATCAATATGCTACATAAAAGTTGTTATTAAGCATCCATACTATTCTCTATTTTGTTGCAGTGCATACAACCAGGTTTCTGATAACGTTTTTGCTCTTGTTTGCAGTTTTTCAAATCCTTGTTTTTATTCTTTTTTCTCCCTAGAAGTGAAATGTTTGCTATATTTGTTTCTGTTGTGTATTATTCTTTTCCTTGATTGCTTGCTTTTCCAAAAATATATTCCCCTTCAAGTTTTATGTTATTCATATAGCAAAAATTGGTAATAATCCTTAAGCATTTTATAGTCTGAGAGAAGTTTTAAAACTGCTATTAGCTTCACTTTAGCAATTGAACTCTCTTTCATCTTCAGATAGCTCCTTCTATTACATTATACTAATAAAGAGTTTTTGGGGCCCAAAGAGGTTTGATATATTAGGGTCTTTTTAACGTAAAGAGAATACGATACTCCTGTTAACAGGTTTGATGGAAGGCACCATATAAGTTGGAATAAACATTTTAGGGTTCTAAGTGAGACTAAGCACTTACATAAGAAATCTTTTGAAAAGCTTGGCAACCACTGCCTTGTTTTCCCTTTTGAATGATATATCTTTGTCTTTGAACCTTTCCTTCTGGAAGTGATAAAGGACAAATTAGTTTTTGGGAGGCTGATTGTCATTGCTTTTTATCTTGGAGAATTTGAGCTAACTGATCAATCTGTCTGCTATATTATGTAGGACAAAAAGGACATTGAGCCTTTTAGATCAGAGCTTAGAGTTGACAGGACTGCGAATTGCAAGGGCTCCAAACAGGATGATAAGATTGAAGGTGAATCTAAGGACTGTTTAATCTGCAAGCAGGAGGGAAATCTATTGTGAGTTAATCAAGCACCATCTAGTTACTCCATTGTAAATTCTTGTACTTCATGGTTCTAGAAGGTTGAGAAAAAAGAACTATGAGCCCTAGTCCCACATGTAAGCTTTTCTGTATTGCTTTGACTCTTCTAGCGTGTGTTCAGCCGGTTATGTGAAGAAATTTGTACCATACTATTTTTTTAGTTAATTTATTGTGTATAACCAAATTAAACTTTTTTGAACCGTTCCAATATTAATGTTTTATGGAAGTAAAACCTAACCTAATGATTCGATTTGCTCATGTTTATACCGAAACTTATTTATGAAAAAAAAACCCTAAAAAATGGTTTGGCTAGGTTTGGTTAGATCAGCTCGATCAGTTTTTTAAATTTTTTTGACATCACTAGCCCCTCCCAACCCTCATCTTGCTGAAAGAAAAATAAAAATCCACACAACATAGAGACATCAAAGGTAAAACAGAGGAAATATAATGTAACTCAAATATCTTTAAAGGTCATGTCATATTTTGTTTATTNTGGAGATTATAATTAATTCTAGAACTATTTGTCATTATGACTGTGAAAGAGCCTGAGCATCCAACACCAGTCCTTAAAGAAATTGAGTATCCACACTATTCAACAATGATTTTTCTGGGATGATGTTCAGTTATTTTGCCTTTGGTTCTTGAAGTTGACTATGTCCCTTAGAACGAAGTGGCTACAACTGCTGGTGAAAGTGCTTTCTACTTCTGGAAGTATGAGAGAATTTAAACGTAATATAATGACCTCCAACTACTTCTTGGCTTTGCACCTGTTGAAATCAGAGAATCACCTTTCCTTTGTGTTTTTTTTTTCCAGATCCTGTGCTGGACAAGGATGCAAAAGGAGCTTCCATCTTTCTTGTGTTGACCCCCCTCTGTCCTATTTTCCACCTGGACCATGGCACTGTTATTGGTGTGTTAGAAGGAAGTTGAAACTAGGTGTTCATTCTGTGTCTGAAGGAGTAGATTCCCTTTTGGATGTCAGAGAGTGTAATTTGGGTAATGAAGGTGCAAGCTATCTGCAAATTCTTATAGCTTGTCTTGATTATGTTTTACACGAACTGTGTGTGATATCCAATTGTCTCATTGTACTTTGTTAATGTGGCACCAGTTATGCAAAAGCGGGAGTATTTAGTAAAGTACAAAGGTCTTGCTCATGTTCATAATCGCTGGATTACAGAGAAGCAGCTGCTTCTTGAGGCTCCAGCAGCCCTTAGAAGATTCAAGAAAAAAAACAAGGTATATGATTATCATTATCTTTCCATTCTTGCCTTCTTTTTTCAGCAAGTCACCTTTGAAAGCTATGTGATGATTTCTCCAGAGTGTAAGTTGGAAAACTGAATGGAGTCTTCCCCATCGTTTACTAGACAAGAGGTTGATAGCAGTTACAGATCACAACAACACTCACGTGCATGGGATTGATGAAAATGATGCAGATTGCCATTATGAGTGGCTTGTGAAATGGACAGGTCTGGGCTACAGTCATGCCACATGGGAAGTGGAGAATGCTTCATTTCTAAGGTCGCTTGAGGCGGTCAAACTCATGACTAATTATGAAATCCGACATCAGCAGGCTACGAAAGAGTTGCATCCTTTGACGGAAGATGAGGTAAATCTCATTAGTAAATGCCAACTATGTGACGCTGAGCTTGAGATTGGGGAGGATCCTTTCTGTTCAACATGCTTTTGGTGTACACTAAATTCATGAAACTTGCTTCTACTGAAATTGCTTTTGATGCTGTTATTATATTAATGTTACCTTTAGTTACATATGTAACTTTCACTTAGATGTTTGCCTTGTTGAGAAGCACATCTTCGGATGAAGTATTGCAGTTGGTCAAAACTATGAATATTTGTTCTCCAATTTTACGTTAGAACTCCAATGTGTTAACGTCATCTTTAAGAATATTTGAGACTTCTCAGTTCGTTTACGTAGATTTATGAGCGACGCACGACTTGACTTCTCCTTAACGAAATTGATTATTTTTAAAAATGATACTTGAGGGTTTGTTTAAACTGCAATTTTGATGCAATCTTGCTAGTTTTCATCCTAATCCTAGTCTCATATTTGATAGAGGATACCCTGGAAGAGTTTGCATGTCCTCATTGCTCTGGAAATTGAATCGACCTTGATCCGTTCTGAAACTCCATATAAGTTGGGACAGGAACTTTTACAGATCAAAGTAGTTATCTAGTATTTCATTCTCTTTATAAGTGTTTACAAATATATTCTTGTTGCCTTTGTCTATCGGAAACAACCTCTCTACCTTCGTAAGGTAGGGGTAAGGTATGCATACACTCTATCCTCCCCAGACCCCACTTTGTGGGATATCACTGGGTTTGTTGTTGTGTTGTTGTTGTTGCCAAAAGTATTTTTCTTCTGAAGCTTCTTCCTCATTATGGTAATCAATGAAGGGGAAAATGTAAACGCTAACGTGTTATGTTTGCAATTTGGTAGCCCAAGTGAAGTCATATTTTTCAATATTCCTGCAGAAAAGGAAAGCCGACTATCAAGAACTGCCGAGACCTCTATTTGGAAGCGCTCCTCAGGTCCATAATCATCTTACTTATATCAACACTCTTCGTAAATATTGGCAGAAGGGTCAGAGTGCTGTCGTCATTGATGACCAGGTGGATGATTGCTTTTCCAACTCTATCTACGTGCAAACGTACTGTATATACACGTACTCACACGCCCCCAAACACACACTAACTTAGAAAAGAAAAAAGCTTGTGTTATTCTTTCATTTCATAATTCTCTTTCCAATGCACACGTCCTCTTTGCAACTACAACTGTGCAGCCAAAGTCTATCTAAAGTTCCCATTAGCACATTAGCAAGATTGTAGCCCCTGCTGTTTTAACTTTTTCCTTTGCTTGCTCCAGAGGTTTCAGCCTTTGAAATTTTGCTGAACCTCCATTGCATTCCTAGTCAATCATAAATTTTGATACACCGAGTTTCAAGCTTGCCGATGATTCTCCAATTTTTCTTTTGTTGTAATGTGATCCTCCAAGATTTTTACCTATATAAATGCCTGATGCAGCTTCGTTTGAGTCTAAATATTAACTGGAGCTGAACTGTTCCATGTTTGGAATTTACAGGAGCGGATTTTGAAGGTGGTCTTATTTCTATTATCCTTGCCCAAGGATATTGGTTTGCCTTTTCTCATAATCACAACTTCTGCTGAACTTCCTCTTTGGGAAGCTGAGTTCTTACATTGGGCATTTTCTGCTAACATTGTTGTGTACAAAGGTAATAAAGATATACGAGCAATTATAAGGACACTCGAGTTTCACAACAAACAAGGTGCCATTATGTTTCAGGTTCTTCTGTCACCTTATGATGCTATTGTTGAGGTAAACTTCTTTTTGTTTTCATTTGTTTTCCTTATCGCATATAATGAAAGACGAATTATTCATATCTTAATTCTCAAGTATTGATCTCTTTGAATGTTGTATCCCACTTGAACTAATTACAATGCATTGTACTTTCAGTCACATTAATATGGCATAATAGTTTTTCTGATCCATGTATAGCATTTATCCTTCCGTAGGATCTTGAAATAATAGTTTTTCTGATCCATATATAGCATTTATCCTTCCGTAGGATCTTGACATGCTGCATTTATCCTTAGTAGGATCTTGAAATGCTTAAACCCATAAGTTAGGAGGCAGATACAAGATAATAATTTTTTTTGATCTACATATAGCAGTATCCTTATTGTTTAATTGTCCCACATTGGTTGATGGAATAGGTTGTTGTCTCCTTTTATAGATTTAGGCAATCCTCATCGGATGAGCTAACCTTTGGGTTGAGTTGGTCCAAGATCCATTTTCTTAACATGGTATTAGAGCGACCTATTTCTATTCTTAGTTTATCCAATGTTGGGCTCCCATGTTGTATTGTCCATTCTATATATGTCCAGCCCTCTGTGTGTGGGGATGTTAGATTGTTTCACATTGGTTGATTGAGCTATTGTCTGCTTATATGGTATGAGGCAATCCTCACCTCATGGGCTAGCGTTTGGGGTTTTGTTAAGGTCCATTTTCTCAACACTTATGCAGGATCTTGAAATGCTTAAATCCACAAGTGGGGGAGCAGATACGGTGTTATATTTTTCTGATCTATATATAGCTATCCTTATGCAGGATCTTGAAATGCTTCAGCCAATAAGCTGGGGAGCAGTAATTATAGATCAGTGCCAGGGTTCTGCCATGTCAATGCTTCTCTCACAAATTAAAGTGCTTGTTTCTGATATGAGATTGCTTATTTTCCGTCAACTAGAGGTTTGAATTCTTCTATTCTGTATAGATTCCCAAGTATCTGCAGCAACTTACGTTTCCTAAATGTATCAGGGTAGATGTGATAGAGGGTTCAATCACAGTAATGTTCTCTCTTTACTTTATCCTGAGTATGACAAGGCCGACAATGATCTGTCGTACACTGATCCCAACATAGACCTAACTGAATTCAAGGAAAGGTTAAAGCGCTTTGTTGCATATGAGTGCAACTCCTCCACATCCAAGTTCATTGAGTACTGGGTTCCAGTCAAACTCTCCAATGAACAAATTGAGCAATACTGCAATTGCCTCTCTTCGAATTCAGCTTTGCTTTGCTCACGTTGGAAGAATGACTCACCAAATTCCCTCCACAACATACTTGTATCTACCAGGAAGGTTTGACTTGTTTTTGACTGTTTTCAGCTTCCAATACTCTGTCTTTAAGAGTAAAACCTTCAGTTATTGTAAGTGACATATCACCATATCTCCGACTTGGACTTTGATTTTTGTTCTCAGTGTTGTGATCACCCTTATCTCGAAGACCGGTCTCTGCGAGACATAGTTCTAGAAGGAATTCCTGTAGATCAGCACTTTGATGCTGAAATTAAACTAAGTGGAAAATTGGAATTCCTCTATAAGATTCTTCGTGAGATCAAACAGCAAGGACAAAGAGTACTCATTCTTTTTCGGGTATCTGCTTTTACTTCTTCAAAATTTTCTTTCGTTCTAGTTCCTTCCTGATTTCCATACGTGTCTTTGATATTCCCAATTGACTGGACACTACCATATAAATGATTATTGGTGCCTCTAGGAGCTCTCTTGTGTATTCTTTCTTATTTGTTATTTGTGAATGTATAAATCCCTCAGGAGACTGATTGTATTTTGTTGGATTTGCTCTAACATACATGTAAACTTATTTTATGTCTCTCTTATTGGTTTGCTAGCTAATGTTCGTAATTTCGTATGATGCTAAGTTGTTTATGTTACAGTCTCTTGGTGGCTCGGGGGTTATTTCCATCGGGGACATCTTGGATGATTTTATTCATCGAAAATTTGGTGAGGATTCTTATACACGCATTAGTGGGGAATTCAGTCGTAAATTGAAGCAAGCTACCTTGAACAAGTTCAACAATGAGGGAAGTGGGAAATTTGCTTGTTTGATGGAGACTCGTGTTTGTGCTCCTAGTGTCAAGCTTTCGAGAATAGATACAATTATTTTGTTTAACAGTGACTGGGACCCAACAAATGATTTAAGATCCCTGCAGAAGATTGCAATTTATTCAAAATTGGAGCAAATAAAGGTACTCCGTCTATATTCATATTTTACTGTTGAAGAGAAAGCACTCATTCTTGCAAAGCAAGGTATGACAATTGACAGCAACATAGAGAATATAAAACAATTCCATGAGCTGCTAACTTGGGGTGCCTCTTTTCTTTTCAAAATGCTTGATTGTTTCCATGTACAATCTTCACAATCAAAAAGATCGTCTGACATTGCTGCTTTAGATGATGTCTTTGCTGAATTGTTAGGCCTGATATCTAGTAATAGTGAGAACAGTGATTATAACAGCTGTTCAAAGATATTGAAAGTGCAGCAGAATGGAGGGACTTATCCAAGAAACATATCTCTACTTGGTGAAGTGGAAATGCAACTGATGGATGATTCTTCTTTTGTGAGAGGAATGACGAATGAATTTCCCAACGTTTTCTGGACAAGTCTGTTACATGGAACGGTTCGTAGGTGGAAACACTTGCCTAGACTATCACAAGGGATTAGAAGGAAAGTTAGACCCCGGGTTGATTTGTGTCAGCCATCCGAAAGGGAACAAGTTTCTGAAAAGAAAGGCAGGAAAGAGGGCAATAAAGTTCATCTTACTCCAGAACCCAAGTTAAGGACGAAAAGGAAATTGCATGTCCAGGGAAAGAGACTCAAACTTGGTAATGCAGTGCCTATGTTGTATCTTTGTATCCATTAATTCTCCTTTATCATCAGACACTGACATATTTGCTTTTTGATGCCAAACTCATTTTCTAGGGATGTCTCATCTTTCTGCTGGTAATAAGTATAAATGCAGGCGTCTTGTGACTAATCCCAGTCTGCAGTGCGATATTGACCGGCAAGGTAGAGCAGCTATTGACAAGGTTCAGTCCCGAGTTGGCTTAACCATGACTGATCAGCATCGAAAAGAAAGTATTTCCATGAAATCAAATCAGGTGCGGGGATATCTTCCTGAATTCTTTCACTTTCCGAAATATTCTCCAAAATGCATCTGGAAATTGTTCTAAGTTCTAACAACAACAACAACAACCCAGTATAATCCCACTAGTGGGGTCTAGAGAGGGTAGTTTGTACGCAGACCTTACCCCTACCCTACCCTGGGTTAGAGAGGCTGTTTCCGATAGACCCTCGGCTCCCTCCCTCCAAGAACTCCCCACCTTGCTCTTGGGGTGACTCGAACTCACAACCTCTTGGTTGGAAGTGGAGGGTGCTCACCACTAGAGCAACCTCTTGGTTCTAACAAGTAACATGAGAAATCAGTTTTTCAATGAATGAAGCAGTGGCCTCTAGCATGTGATCTGGCATTAAATGAAATTCTCCTCTTGCTTGTTCATCAAGGGTTAAGTTACTGGATGACTCTGCAAAACTTACACCAGGGAAGGTATTATGGTAAAATTTAACCAGAGGAAAGGTGATATTCTCAATAAAAGAAATATTAACATCAAGAGATTGTGCAAGTTGTAAAAGTTGTCGAAACGAAGTTTTAGAAAATGTTGAAATTTCATAGTTTCTTACGCCAGGCAACAACAACAAAAAAAAAAACCCAGTGTAATCCCATAAGTGGGGTCTTGGAGGGTAGTGTGTACGCACACCTTACCCCTACCTTATAAAGGTAGAGAGGCAGTTTCTTACTCCGGGCAATTATGAAAAATATTGCCTTTATCATGAAATATATGAAATTTATGATCCCACCATGCGCTCATAGCATCTTACTGAATTACTTTCTAAAACGTTTTTGCGTAAATTTTAATTAGATATTCTTTAGTAAGAGAATTTAGAATGTGGCTAAATGTTGGCTGTGGTCCCTTATATGCACTGGGCAAGTTGTTTCCGTCTGACAATCTATCTCGCGGTGCTGGTTTCATTTTCTTCACCTCTAGTATCAATGGAATGAACTTTCATCTTTGTTATTGGTGCCATGAAGTTTCTTGAATCAGAGTGGACACCTGATTGTTTTCTCAAACTTTCTTTTATCTATCTCAGCTGCCAGATTCCAATTTGCCCGCCTCTACTGGCCGTGATCAAGCTCATGCATTTGTGCCCATTGACAATCACCAGAGCCATAGGAATTGTATTGATTCTTCCAGTCACCAGGTTTTAGATTTCATGGACCTTCAGCCAGAGGAGTTGAATTTTCCAATAGACTCTTCTATTCAGTGGTCTACAGGAAATTTGCTACTGCAACAACATACGAGTACAGGTGCAGGAAACGATGCGAGTATGAGAAGCAGAAACAGCCAGGAATATCAATGTCGTCCTGATGCCTCTCCAGACGCATCTGAGCTGCTTCAATCCCCTTGCCCATACCCACTTCAAATGGAGATGGAGAGGATACTAAAGGAGAGAGAACAAACTACAAAATTGCATGAAAATCTGGTTTGTCCTTCTGACCTGTGCCCCTTTCTTGTTCATTTCTGTGTCCTTTTGATTTATTGTTTATTTTTTAATTTTAAAAATATAATAATACTTCCCATTGCAAAGATTACTGAAGGTTTCATTATAAAATTTTATGCAGAATTTGCTCCTGATATCTGAATATGAAAAAGAGCTAGATGCGATAAAGAAGAAGTATGATTTGCTGTTTGAGATTGCTGACACAGAATTAGTTCAAAAGCACAAAGACCTTGATACACTCTACAACAAAGTGCATATGAACAAGTTACTAGCTGAAGCCATGACCCAGATACAAAATACTGCTTGGTCACTAGAGATGACAGAAGGTATGCATTTTTATAATAAAAATCTTAATAATAATGATGGTAACTGCAATTACATATGCTTCACAAGAACAACACTTCAATCAATCTGTTAGTGGAGTCAAAGCCTTTTAAACTATAATTTGTTAACAGTGAACAGCATTTTCAAAAATAAAGCTAGTAGTCTCATATTTCTCCTTTTTCTCTGTTCTGATTCTGTCCATCCAGACGGCCGGAACTTGTCTAGTCTTGATATAACTTTGGAGATACAAATGTGAAGTAAATTACATCTCAACCTCTTTTATTTCGAGCTCGATTAACTTTTGACATTTTCCTTTCTATCAGTTACTGTCTAATTTATATCAATGATATCCTTAATGTGTGCTTTTCTTACAGGAACTGGACAATCATCACCAAGCAGACCTAGTAGAGTCCCGGCAGTGACTGCTGCATCAACACAACCAGCAAGTCAATCATCAAATATTCTAAACTATCCAAGTTTAGTTTCTGAACCTGTCAACTCAGAGCAACGAGCTGCGGACCATCAAATATCCTCTCAGAATTTTTCAATGGCTGTCATTCCATCTCAAAATGCTGAATTGCCTATAGTGACAGAGTCAGCTGCAGTTCCGCCAACAAGTGCAAGGGTCACCCTGCAAACGACAACCTCTGCTAATCTGCCGATAAGTGGTTCACCTATGACCCCAACACGAAACTTGCAGCCTGTCATCCTCACACCATTTTTATCGACTAGTGTTCCAAGTCAACTCTCGATCCAAACTTTTAGTTATGCGGCGAGCCCTGCAACAAGCTGTGTACTAAGGGCACCAGCTCCACATCTGAGACATTTTAGACCACTGCCAACAATGAATTCTTGGAATTCCAGCCTGTTGCAGTGGTGACACTGCATTTTAGTCACCTGGTTTACAGATTTGGTGAATCACAATACTTAGGTTATCACAGACAATATGTTTGGTCATTTTGCTCTCTCTCTCTCTATATGTATATATATATAGTGTTACTAGGTTTTTGGTTGATCTCTAGAATGGTAGTTTGTCAAATTTCTAGGAACCCCTGACACCGGATAACGTTTTCTTTTAGGTTTTAAACTTAGTTGCCTGAGTCCATTTGTTGCATATAGCACTATACATGTAAAGTTTTGGCCTTCACCCTTTTGTTTCAAAAGTTAATAGCTTCATGCCTATTGAATATTTGGTCTAACAGGCATGAAATTGCATGTTTTGTACAGAATTTTGCTGAAATACTGTCAGAGAAAAGCATTTGCTCGATAATCTATTCATATTTCGTGCATGTTAAGATGAGAACCAGCTCTTGCTGGTGGGCTGCCTCATTATCTGTTATGCTACTAAAAGAATTTACATATACCAGATGTTTTAAGGCCAGTTGAAAGTGTGTTAATTGCATGTGTCAAAGAAACTGACTTTTGTTAAACCTACTTAAAGAATTATTAGACATACATACAGGTCTCAAGTATCTTCCAATACACATTGTGCTTTTAGTACCGATTGCCTTTCCTTTGTTCTAAACTTTGACTAAATTGTCATAATTTATAGCTTAACATTACGCTATAGAAGTACTAGTTAAGTGAGTGTAGTTTAAAACTGTTGGAATTTTAACCTTGTGTAGCTTAAAGAGGGTGAATGAGAAATGGAGGAAAAATGAAATATTTGAGTTTCTCTCCTTGCCAAAGGGACATTGTCCCATATTGAAGGAAGAAAAGGCTTTTGATGGGTATATATATAATTGCTCTTCTTCTAGTTCTTAAAGAGTTAAGAAGAAGGCAAGCCTCACGCTGTCGTCGTCGCTCGGCTTCGGCTTCGTCTTTGGTCATTAATTGATTAATCTTTTTGGACAAAATTTCTTTCAATTATTTAATTAATTAATTAAATAATTAACGAAAAATTGAATCCGGAATAATCCATGACCCGCGACCCGGTCCGATAAGGCCTGTTTTTTTTCCCGAATTATTTTAAATCCGTTTTCCCGCAATATTTCAAACAACCTGTTCCAACATCCATGGTTGTTTCTGAAAGGTTGCAAACCTTTTCAGAAACAATGCCAGCAACTCTATAAATATACTTTGAATCCCATAATCTTTCCTTATGAAATTTTCTGATCTTCTTCTTCTTCTGCACAAAAATTTCAGTGTGTTTTACAGCCTTCGAGTGGCTCGCTGTTCACCGGCGTTTTTGGTACTAACACTCCGGTGAGTTAAATCGTTCTATCCTGGGCGGATATATTCCAGCACCTCGGGTACTTGAGGAAAATAATTTCCTTAAGGACACACTGTGTATTCAGTGGACTCGATTTATTCCTATGCTGTTTTTCCAGAATTTATTTCGTTAAACAAGTATTACTAACTTTCTGTTTTGTTTATATATTTCAAAAAGTTTAATGATTTAATTGTTTATTACAACAATCCAGATTTATAACAATCTTAAGGAAATTATTTTATTATATTCTGTATTTTGTTTGTGGAGATTAAAACCTGGGTGATTTTCTACTCCTTCTGAATTTTACTATTCTGATTTGAAGATATAAAAACTTTATTAGAGTATTGAAATTCAGAAAACGATTTGAAGAACATAAAAACTTCATCGTTTTCTGTGAAACAGTATATAAAAACTTCGGTTTTATTTATTATACATATTGTTTGTTGTTAATAACAGTATTGTTTACTGTTCTGATTTTGCCATTAATTGAACTCTTTTGTTATTTACAGTGAGAAATGGCAATTGATAACGGAAATTCTTCCGTGACTATTGCGGCAACGACGATAGCCTCGTCAAGCCGGACTGTTGTTCCACCGGTAGAGAAACTGGAGAAATTTTTCGGAGCCAACTTCAAAGGATGGCAGCAAAGGGTGTTCTTCTGGCTTACCACACTTGGTATGCAGAAATTCACTAGTGAAGAACCTCCAGTGCCTGCTGCGGACATGCCGGACAACGAGAAATTCATGATTGTTGAGGCGTGGAAGCAGGTAGATTTTCTTTGCAAAGGCTATATCTTAAGCGCTTTAGAGGATGACTTGTACAATGTCTACAGTGCGATAAATACTTCGAAAGAATTATGGGACGCACTTGAGAAGAAGTACAAGACTGAAGATGCATGCTTGAAGAAGTTCGTGGTTGCCAAGTTTCTAGACTATAAAATGATAGACAATAAAATTGTTGGAACCCAAGTTCAGCTGAAGGTATGGTTGTGAATGAAGCATTTCAAGTGGTTGCAATGATTGAAAAATTGCCTCCTTCGTGAAGAGATTTCAAGAACTATCTTAAGTACAAGCGCAAAGAAATGAAGTTGGAAGATCTTGTGGTTCGTCTCAAGATTGAGGAAGACAACAAAACAGCCGAGAAGAAGTCTCGTGAAAATTCAACGATCATGGGAGCTAATATTGTTGAGCAGGCTGCTCCAAAAAGTAAGAAGAGAAAGAGGTCTTCTGGACAGACTAAGGAGCAGAACAAAAAGAAATTCAAGGGCAGCTGCTATAATTGTGGAAAAACCGGTCACAAAGCCCCTGATTATCGTCTCCCGAAAAAGTATAAGAAGAAGGGACATGCCAACATAGTAGAGAAGAATGATGACATTGATGATATGTATGCAATGCTTTCGGAATGCAACCTAGTTGGAAATCTGAAGGAGTGGTGGATTAACTCTGGATCCACTCGACATGTTTGTGCTGTCAAGGAAGCATTTGCGACTTACTCTACTGCTGGTCCCAAAGAAGAGCTTTCCCTAGGAAATACTACAACAGCCAAGATTGAAGGTTATGGGAAGATATTCCTGAAGATGACTTCCGGCAAGGTGTTAACGCTTTACAACTTTCTTCATGTTCCTACTACTAGGAGGAATTTAGTTTCTACTTCTTTACTTGTTAAGAATGGATTCAAATGTGTATTTGTTTCTGATAAAGTTGTAAGCAAGAATGAAATGTATGTTGGAAAGGGCTACCTCACAGAGGGTTTCTTCAAACTAAATGTAATGGTTGTTGACAGTATGAATAAAATTTCAGCTTCTTCTTATTTATTGGAGTCAAATGATTTATGGCATATTCGTTTAGGACATGTCAATTATAAAACCTTGCGGAAGTTAATTAATTTAGAAGTATTGCCTAAATTTGAGTGTAATAAATCAAAATGTCAAATATGTATTGAGTCTAAGTTTGTAAAACATCCTTATAAGTCTATTGAAAAGAATTCAAATTTCTTTAGACTTAATTCATATTAACATTTGTGATATGAAGTCGACACCATCTCGAGGTGGGAAAAAGTATTTTATTACTTTTATTGACGATTGCACTCGATATTATTATGTTTATTTGCTTAATAGTAAGGATGAAGCAATTGAAGCATTTAAGCAATGCAAGAATGAAGTGAAGAATCAATTGAATAAAAAGATCAAAATAATTAGAAGTGATAGGGGTAAAGAATATGAATCTCCGTTTGCAGAAATATATTCGGAATATGGAATTATCCATCAAACTACTGC